CTCTACGCAGTTGACATCGAAGAGCCAGGACCCCTTTGTAAAGGGACCCATTACAATAAATGAAAATAATGCTGTTTTTTAGTTTTCACATGGCTCATCATTTTGCATCCAAACAAACACCATAAACATAGACCTACAAATATCCCCTTCAAATCTCAAACCATTTTCTTCCTCCTTCACCCATCACCCATCACCCATCACCCTCCACTGCACTTGTCATTTTGTTAATATATTCATCATGGTTCTACTGAGATCCAACCCTGTGATCTTATTTTATACACAGTTGACTTCTGCCCATCACATGGTTACTATCATGGTTAAAACTGATTCGTGGGGGACAACCATATTTCAACAATATTCTTTTACATCCTGTAAAGAAAAAGATCATTTGCAAAGAACAAAGAGGTTGGGCATTTGACATGTGGTGCCATTGAAATGGTTTGAGTTTTTTGTTGTTGTTTTTGCCTTGTTAGCACTATTTATAAAAACTCGGATCCTGTTATTGCCAAGGTGTCTGCTTTAAAAAATTCCTTGTTTTATAAGGTTCTGAGAGGTTTAAGTAATTGGGATAATTGCCTCTTAAAAGGAACAAAATCTTGCAAATTCCTTCACTTTAGAAAAAGCCAAAGCTTATAGGCTGGTTCTGACAAAGAGCAAAACCTCACACGCTTGGGGAATCTTTCTTATCAATAGTTTTATTTCCCATAAACAGAGCTTTATATTTTTATTTTTTTTTTAAATGATTAATTACTAGTACATTACTAGATTTGATTCTCAATGTTGATCATTGTCTGATTTAGATAAGAAGTTGATGGGGGAAGATAATTCTTCAATCATGAATTCAATCTTGGCACAAAATTGTCATTAGTCAATAATATTAAAAAACATAAAGTCTTTTTTTACACATTTGACTATAAATTATAAAAAAAAAAAATTTCTTATTTTTACTGTAAGAGTGAAAAAGATCTGATGTTGTTGTGAATTAATGGTCTTTTGAGGCCCAAAGTTTTAAAAACCGAACCGGAGGGTCAAACCGTTTTGACCTCCGGTTCCCGGTTAGCCGGTTTAGCCGGTTCAACCATTCAAACCGCCGGGTCATTCCAAATGAATAAATATAATGTTGTGTAGCACTTTTACAGAACAGGTCCGGTGGATCAACTGGTTTGTAACCTTGCC